GTCTCTTTACCAGGAAGCTTACAGTGCCGTTTCGCAGCGTTCAAAAGCAGGGAAGAGAGGGGGTTGTTCAGACACAGCACACAATGGGTAGAGGAGGCAGTTCATGTGGGAGTGTGGGTCATGTACACCACACACTCCACATTTCTCTGAAAGCCCCCCATGGAAGCAGTGTTTTAAGGAGGGACATGAATGAAGGTGGCGTCTCTTTACCAGGAAGCTTACAGTGCCGTTTCGCAGCGTTCAAAAGCAGGGAAGAGAGGGGGTTGTTCAGACACAGCACACAATGGGTAGAGGAGGCAGTTCATGTGGGAGTGTGGGTCATGTACACCACACACTCCACATTTCTCTGAAAGCCCCCCATGGAAGCAGTGTTTTAAGGAGGGACATGAATGAAGGTGGCAGATGGGCAGAGGAGAATCATAGAATCACAGAATATTAGGACTGGAAGGAACTTCGAGAGGTCATCGAGTCCAATCCCCTGCCCTCATGGCGGGAGCCAGCACTGTCTAGACCATCCCTGATAGACATTTATTTAACCTGCTCTTAAATATCTCCAGAGATGGAGATTCCACAGCCTGCCTGGGCAATTTATTCCAGTGTTTAACCACCCTGACAGTTAGGAAGTTTTTCCTAATGTCCAACCTAAACCTCCCTCACTGCAGTTTAAGCCCATTGCTTCTTGTCCTATCCTGAAAGGCCAAGAAAAACATTTTTTCTCCTTCCTCCTTGTGACACCCTTTTAGATACCTGAAAACCACTATCATGTCCCCCCTCAGTCTTCTCTTTTCTAAATTAAACAAACCCAATTCTTTCAGCCTTCCTTCATAGCTCATGTCTTCTAGACCTTTAATCATTCTTGTTGCTCTTCTCTGGACGCTCTCCACATCTTCCTCTTGAGAAGAGGAAGGCTGTTCTAGGACTATGGGACAAGGTGGGGGTGGTGGAGTTGCCAGGGGGACTGGCCAGAAAAAAGGCAGTGCAAGGGAATGAGGAGAAAATGAGAGCTGAGATGTAGGCTGGAGGGTGGGAGAGATGCTGAAGTTTGCATAATACAGAAGGTGAAGGAAACTAGAGGGATGGGGGTGGGGATATAGAAAGACATGAGACGGTTAGAGAGAAAGGGGCATGTTTCCTGGGCATTTGGAACTCAGGTGAGCTAAGCAGGAAGGACAGAGAGCCACTGTTTGATGTAGTTCTGGTGGGATGCGTTCAAGGCCCAGATAAATGCCTCACCAGTTGAGATGGACATGGAAGGGCAGACTGCAGCAATTGTGGGAAAGAACATTTGGCAGGGGAGAGCTGCAATCCAAATTCACTCCCTCGCTACTGAAACATGCTGGCGAACCCATTTGGTCCAAAATGCAGACTTGGTAAAAAAAGGCTTCAAAATAATCGACTGCTGGGAGGAATGACTTCCTAATTCAAGAAACAAGCAAGGTGGTGGGAAGCAGAAAGTGACCCACTTAGCTGCACGACGCCCGGAAAGTAACAAACAGTCAGAGGATAAGCAAGCTGGATTTTAAAAATGCTTCATTTTATTGCTAATAGGACCCCTGGCATTTTAAAAGCTATGGCCCAGATCTTCACCGGCTGTAGATCAGTAAACCTCTGATTCATACCAGCCACGAATCTGGCCAACCGAAGCCAAATCTTTCTTTGATTTACACTGGTGACATCCCTGCGATAGGTGACTTAGAACGACAGACAGCTCCATACCACTTTATTGGCATCAAAGGGTAATCCAGGGTAGAATTTGCTCCATCATTATCGGGATCACGTCCCCTTGCAATTAGTGCAGATTTTGGTTGAGCTTTGGCAATAGCGGCAGCAGTGCAGAATGGAAGCAGATCATTCTCTGTGACATCCTCGGGCATCATTCTGCTGATGGTCATGGAGGACTGGAACCAGGTCCCTTCTGTCACAGAATTTCAAACACCCTGTGGGGATTCATAAAGCTCAAGTTCATCCTTGCTAGTCACACAGCAAGATTATTTTTTTTTAATACTGACATTGTTTAAAGAAAAAGCTCACTAATACTGAACACAGAATCCTAGAACTCTAGAACTGGCAGGGTCCAACACAGTAGCCACTAGTGGCTGTTTGGCTGGTCGAGTGTGGCTAGTTGGTTCACAAAATTGTTTATGTTTTCAGAATAATGTGGTTAGATCGCTACAGCAGTAGCTACTACAGTGGCTACTGCTTCAGAACTGGTTGGATACCACGGCTCTAGACCACCCCAGAGGGCACATTTAGACTTGCTTTCACTTTTAAAAGAAGCTATGCAAATTCGCCACGAATGTGCATATCTTTTTCTGATCACTTTTTCGAAAGAGGTTCTTTCAAAAAAGTAGTCTAGACGCAGTTCTTTCAAGAAAAAACCCTTTTTTTGAAAGAACTGTGTAAACCTCATTTTTTTAGGAAAAACGGTTCTTTCCAAAAAGGTTTTTTCTCAAAAGAACCATACCTAGACTACTTTCTTTTTCAAAAGAACCTCTTTCAAAAAAGCGATCAGAAGAAGATATGCAAATTCACGCCAAATTTGCATAGCTTCTTTCAAAAGTGAAAGCAAGTCTAGACGTGCCCTGACAGGTGTCTGTCTAGCCTGCTCTTAAATAACTCCAGTGATGAGATTCCACAACCTCCCTAGGCAATTTATTCTAATGTTTAATCACCCTGACAGGCAGGAAGTTTTCCCTAATGTCTAACCTATTCCTCCCTTGCTGCAATTTAAACCCATTGCTTCTTGTCCGATCACCAGAGGCCAAGGAGAACAATTTTCCCCCCTCCCTCCTCGTAACACCCTTTTAGGTACTTGACGAGTACCTGGGCTTGTCGAGGATTTGAACTCAGGACCTCTCACACACAAAGCAAGAATCAGATTGAGACAAGCAGCATGTTTTGTTACTTGTCTAATCATCTCTATATACAGTTTAGTACAATATAATTTAGTCCCCCCATGTGCGTGTCTGTATATAATAAACTCTCATTTTGCACCAACATCTTGTTGAGAAATTACGTTTTCATTTATCAATAGTCAGTCCCCATTGGCCTTCCCCTGAATGTAAAACTCCAGCTTGGTCCAGGCAGGGTTCAGCATGTTTGTAATCCCGGAGCTGCTGTTATATATTAAAGATTTCTTCTCCACTGATATACATGAAGGGCATGATTTTCCAGAGGGCCCGACTCCTCCCAACGCCACTGGAAATTAGTGGCAGCTGCCGGACCTTTGAAAAAAATCAAGCTATTGGCAAGCTGCGTGGTGGTTTCGCAATGCAGACAAAATTCAGATAAGGATTCGGGTGAGCAACTGCCATTTGAGTTAATTTCTTGTGACCGAAGCCAGTGATCTCCCAAATTTAAAACCACTGGGCAGCCTGACATGACATGATGAACCCCACTGCCCCCAGCATCAGAACTTCCTGTAACATCCCTCCGCCAGTACTCACTCCACCCCTTCCTCTTCCTTCCGGAGCTCAATCTTGCGCAGTTTGCGTCGGCAGGCCCGCTCCTCGCTGCTGCTCACGCTGGAGCTCTCCTCCGAGCTTTCGGAAGTTAAGTACCTGATGGCCACCGCATCCGTCTCGTTCATTTGCAAGCAGAGGCAGGAGGAGTCGCTCACCTTGAACGAGTCCCCCCACATGCTCTGGCACAAGTCAGTCCCATTCGCATACACCTAGTTGTCAAACAAAACGGATTAAATTAAAAAAAAAAAAAAGCTTCACCCATCAGAAACACCTGGTGCTAATTCACTGTTGTCCTCAGACATTTCTACCAATGTAAAGGGGATCTAAAGCATAACCAGAACAGATTGGCAGCGTTGTAGACCCCCATAGCACTGTGGCAAATCACTGTGCAAGGTGCAAGGCAAAGGTGCATTTTCCAATGTTTCCCTTGCTTCCAAAGTTGTTTTCATATGCTGGTGCAACAGATGAAAGCCACCACGGGTGTGAGATCAACTTGACTCCACATGGCATGCAACATGGCAGGACAGCCTGACATGTATTTGTTTGAGTGACCTTTGTATCAGACAGCGTTCTCTTTGTCGGCAGAACAGAGCAGTGGAGCAATTTGCAGCTCTCTGGCATTCCACCGTGGTCAATGTACGTACGTCGTGGCCACTCAGGTCTTCACACACAGAGAATACCTACAGGCGGAGCTCGGAATGCCCGTCCCCTGCTTGTCGGGAGGCCAAGTGAAGGCAAAGAGCCAACTCATAACCCGTCCTCCCTCAAAGTGAGCCCCCCCGCAAGGGAACATGCCGAGCTCTGGGAAATTTCAGCTGCCCGTGCCACTTTTAAGTGAACCTTTCCTATATCTTGGTTTGGACCAAAATCCTATTGGGAAGCACTATCTACATAAGAGCGGCCAGACTGGGTCAGACCAAAGGTCCATCCAGCCCAGCAACCTGTCTGCCCACAGTGGCCAATGCCAGGTGCCCCAGAGGGAGGGAATCGAACAGGTAATGATCAAGCCTCTCTCTCCTGCCATCCATCTCTACCCTCTGTCAAACAGAGGCTGGGGACACCATTCCTTAGAGATCTATAGCGACCTTTCTGACCACATTGCAAATAAACGTCTTGGGAGCTGTGTTTATGTCATGCTGACCTGCTGCTGCCCTCCGAGCCTGGATTGAAATAAAGATTCTTATCTTATTGGTTGGAGGAGCTAAGAACAGGTACCCATTAGGTCAGCGGAGTTGGCAGGTCATGTACTTTAGCAAAGCCAGAAAGGGGCCATCTCTGTTTTCTCTCTCTGCACTTTGTCCTGCACATATTTACTGTTGCTTTGCAATATCTTCTGTTCAAATGATTGCAAGAGAGACTTTGATACCCTGCAAAAGAAAGCTGACGAAGGGCTTGGCATATGCATGAAAGCGGGTGAAGCAGGCTTGGGAGTAAGAGGAGGGAAGTTTTGGTTGGTGATTGAAATGGGACTGGGTTGGGTTCTCGTTCTGACTGTATCACTGACTCCTGCAACTGTGGTGTAGTCACTAAGGGTGTGTCTAGACTACATCCCTCTTTCGACGGAGGGATGTAAATGAGACACTTCGAAATTGCAAATGAAGCCGGGATTTGAATTTCCCACCCTTCATTTGCGTAATCACATCATGGCGCTCTTTCTAAAAAGCGCTCTTTCGAAAGTGAAACCGCCATCTAGGCGCAGTTCTTTCGAAAATAGAAGCCTTTTTCGAAAGGCTTTACAGGATCTTTCAAAAAAGGCTTCTATTTTTGAAAGAACTGCGTCTAGACTGCGGTATCACTTTCGAAAGAGCGCCATGACGCAATTATGCAAATGAAGCGCGGGAAATTCAAATCCCGGCTTCATTTGCAATTTCGAAGTGTCTCATTTACATCCCTCTGTCGAAAGAGGGATGTAGTCTAGACGTACCCTAAGCCTGCCTGCACATCCCTTTGTTAGTGTAAAACATCTCACAGGGGTGCTGTCACTCACTCAGTGCTTGTAAAACGTTTTACGACTCCTGACGTTCATTGCTATTGATAGCCAAAGTATTATTATTAGTGCTTATGTGCAATGGGAAACTGAGACGACAATGACCTATTCAATGGCCTGTTGTGATGCAGACGCCCAGAGCACTGTAATTGGTAATGGAAGTCACAAGTGTGCATTGAAGGTAGCAGAGTCCTTGCCCCTAAACATCTGTTCCAATAAATATGCTGAGTTTGGCAATTTGATCCCAGGAGTGTTGCAAATTCTGCCGCGTGCGGCAGCTTTCTGAGTTACCATTGTCCTATGTGCGTGTCCCTACCATAAAGAGGGTCATTTCTCAGGGCTCTTCAGGTGAAGGGTGCTAGAACTCCAAAATATTTACGATTGTTATTTTTAGGCTACACCTGCAGGCCCAGTTATGGGGGAGTAGGGGGTGGGAACATGACATCAATTAGTTGCATCTTCCCCCAGTCGCTGGAGTGGACTCTCTCCTAAAGAAGCTGGCTCTTTCTTTGCTCCTATAGAGGGCTTCGTTCACAGGAGATCTGTGATACGCAGGACAGACTCGATTCATTCATAAGGGTCTCTTCTGACCTGGCCATCTGTGAATAACACAGCCTGCTTTCCAAATAGCCCTCCGAACCTCTGCACTGCAATGCTGCAACGGGGCAGCCGGGAGCTGGCTTTCTGCAAGGGGCAGTCGCTGGAGGTGCCATGCCTGTGGAGTGCAAAGGTAGGCAGGAGGCCCTCTGACTATCTTCTCTATTTCTGTCCCTTTCAGTGGCTTACGGCTTATTCGTGGGTGTTTCCTTGCTTCCTGCTGGTCAATTTGGGAGCAAGTAAAATCTGTAAATATGCATTTCTGCATGCCGGGGGTGGGCAATCATTTTTGCAAGGGGCCCCACTTCACAAATTTTGATTCGTGGTCCTGGGCTGGCTCTGCCCCAGGAAGGGGCGGGCCCAGTGCGGAAGGGGCGGGGCCTTAGGCAGAAAGGGGAGGTTGCCTTTAGGTGCTGTGCACCCCTGGTGGCAGGAGGGAACCGCCCGCTGCTTTGAACAGCGAATGACCTGGCGCACTTCCCTGGCCCTGGGTCTCAACTGGCCTGAGGCTGAGGGTGCGGCAGGGGGGGGCGCAGCCCGGGGC